GATAAGGGACACAGGAAACAAAACACTAACTAGGAAAAGGATAAAAAATAGGCAGCAGAAACAGATGTGCACAGATTTCAGATACTGAGATTGTCAAAAATAGGTATTAAAATAGCAGTGCTTGAAGAAATAACAAACTTGAAAATATCTACAAGGAACAGGGTAATATTTTCAAATGACAGTGAAAAAGGGATCCTCATACACTGATGTAGACTGGTTTAGCCCCTATGGAAAATAGTACGGAGATTTCTCTAAATATTAAAAATAGATCTATAATGTGATCCAGAAATTCTACTCCTAGGCATCTACCAAAGAATATCAAGAGTTTGAAAAGATATATGCATTCTTATATTCATTACAGCATTATTGAATAGTCAAGCTATGTAAGCAACCTAAGTGCTCAAAGACTGATAATTGGGTAAAGATGCTATGGAATATATATACTTAGTGGAATACTATTTAACTGCATTAAAAAATATATGAAATCATGACATTTCAACAACATAGATGGAGCTGGAGGAGATCATGCTAAGCAAAATAAGTCAGAAGGAAAAATACAAATTCCACATGATTCTATTATATGTAGAATATGAAGGAACAAAGCAAAGAAACAGTGAAAACAAACCCTCAGTTTCTACAGCAGAAGTGAAAATACCAGAGGGGGTGGGAAGGAACAGGGGGTAGAGGAGGTCCAGTGGGTTATGGTGACAGGTTATTGGTACTTTGAGAGTGGGTGTGTGTAGTGACACATATTTGAAGAAGTGTGGGCCTGCACTCCTAAAACATATACTGTGTTGCAAATAGGTCAATTTTTTAAAAAGTGACAGAGTAGATACAAAACAAATAAGAACTTATAAAAATAAAAAATGATCCTGAAATTAAAACTCAATGAGCTTATTTGGCAGCATATTAAACAGAGCAGAAGGAAAAAAAAATACGAACTGAAAGATGCCAAAAGAAAATAAAGAGAATGAAGCACAAAGAGAAAAGAATGAAAAATACAGAGAAGAGAATAAGTGATATGGAAGATACAGTGAGAAGGTCTAAAATACATCTGATCCAAAAAAGAGAGCGAGAAAGGAGCAGAGGCAATATCTGAGGAAATATTGTCCAATATTTTCCACAAATGGTGACAGAATCAAGTGTCCAGGGAATCTCAAATATGATAAATAAGAAATCTGCACCTTAACAATAATGAAAGGTAAAAAGTCAAAAGCAAAGATAAAACTTTTTCTTTAAGATTTATTTATTTATTTTATACAAGCACTGGGTACAATCAGAAGTGCGGGAGGGTGAGAGAATCCACCAGAGCCAGAATGGGGAGCAGAACAGGCAGACTGACGAACTACACAGCTGAGGGGAGCAGCGGGTGAGGCAGGAGAGGTCTGCGTGCCATGTGGGACCCTTGCCGCCCGGGGATCGAACAGGCACTGTAGAAGCTGCGGACCGCTGGCTTCACAGCCCAGCACTCAACCGCTGCGCCACCAGCAAGGCCCGCAAAGGTAAAACTTTTTAAGCAACAAGATCAAAGGATGGCAGTTATCCTCTAAAGAACAACAATTAGATCAAGAGTTATTTTTAAATATTGAAGCCAGAATACAGTGGAAAGATATTTTCAATGTGCTGACAAAAATAACTGCTCATCTAGAACTGCATGCACTGGGAAGAGATCTTTCAAGAATGAGAGTGATCGAAATAACTTCTAGACAAACAAAAACTGATAAAGGATATTACCACAGACTTTCTTGAAGGGAACCTTTAAAGGAAATAATTCGAGTGAAAGGAAAATGATTCCAACTTGAAGGTATATAATATAAGAATGAAGATTTGAACTTAACAGTAAATATGAGGACCAATATAATTGAACACTGATTATATAAAACATTACCAACAAGGTCAAGTGACACTTAGAAAAAGAAACAAAAACAAGATTTACCAGTTTTTAATGCTTAGATTAGAAAAGAGGCATGACCAAAAATTAATAAAGTAACCAACTCTATCAAGAATTTAGGGGGTGGGGTGAGAACAGCAAAATACAATTTAGGGGGTGGGGTGAGAACAGCATGACCAAAAATTAATAAAGTAACCGACTCTATCAAGAATTTAGGGGGTGGGGCGAGAACAGCAAAATACAATGAAAGGAAGAAGGATGAAGGTGTGATAAAATAAAGAGAAGAAATTAATGAAATAGAAAACAAATATGTAATAGCAAGTAGTCAATCCAAAGCACTAATAAAATTGGTAAGTCACTGGAATATTTAATCAAGTGAACAGAGAAGACACAAGTACACAAATATGTAAGAAAAAATGGTCATAATTATATATTTTGCAAATTTCTTAAAATATATTTAAAATGATTTGATATTTAAATCAATTCCTAGAAAAAATATGTTATCAAAATTGACGTAAGAGAAAATATGAAAATTCCTCTAATAATTCAAGAACCTAAAGCTATAGACAAACCCTTCTTTCAAAGAAACTCCAGGCCCAGTTCTTTTAACTGATGAGTTCTACAAATACTCTATTAGGAAATATTTCAACATCACACAAGTTCTTACAGAGAACAGAGAATGAGGAATACTGTCCCCACATTATAATATCAGGCTAGGATAACTGGATAAATGAAATATGAGGGGGAAACTCTGAACAATTTCATTCAGGAAACCCATGTAAACATCAGCACAGTTTGTCACTCCAAATCCAGCAGAAAATGAAAAAAAAAAAATGTGTGACCAAATTCAGTTTATTCCTGGAAAGCTGGAAAACTTAATATCTTGAAAACAACTAATGTAATTCACTTCATTAGAAGATTACATTTTACTGAGCATATTAGTTGCCATATTAAGGCAAAGAAAATAAAGGAATAAAAATTAGAGGGGAAAAACTGTTATTATCTGCGAATAATATGGTTTTGTCAAAAGCAAAAACAAAATTATCTATACTAGTAGGATTATAATATAATTTAGCAAAGTTGCTGGATATTAATATGCCAAAAATACATTAGATAGAAGTTAAATTGAGTTGCTGAATACCAGCAATAAGGAGCTTACTTAAATCTGTAAAAGATACTGTTTATGATAACATCAAAAATTATCAAATGCCTTAGAATAAACTGATCAAAATATGTGTAAGATTGCTGTTGGCAAAACTATAAAACATTATTGAAAGATTTTGAAGACATGAACTTTGTAAACTGGGAGATACATCAATTGTGCTTTGGAAGACTTGGTATTTTGAAAACATTAATTTACTTTAATTTGATCTATTTGATCTATATTCAATGCAGTCCCAATCAAAATCCCAACATATTTTTTTTTTGTTGTTGAATTGGATGTGCTGATTTTAAAAGGTATACGGAAAAGGGCAAAGAAAGGTCTACACACACTTCAACTAGACCCACATAATAGGACTTTACCTACCAGACATAAAAATATAAAGTTGTAGTAATCAAAACATAGAGACCAATGCAACAGACTGCAGAAAAATAAGCCCACACATGTGAACTTGGTAGATGAGGTGGAGCACTGAATAGCAGCAATGTGCAAAGAACAGACTTTTCAGTCAATAGCACGGATGCCCATGAATAACTTTACAGTAAAAACTTTACACTGTGAGTTCACATGTGCAAAAAACAAATCAATTCAACAGAAGCTATCATTAAAACAAAAAGACATTCTACCACATAGGAGTAAATATTTGCATATCATGTATCTGATAAGGGGCTAATATCCAAGATCTATAAAGACATCATACAACTCAACAAGAAAACAAGGCCTGCCTGGTGGCCCAGGTGTTAAGTCTCAGCGCTATCACCACTGCAGCCTGAGTCCGATCACCAGCCACAGAGCTAATCCACGCATGGCGCAGACCTCTCCTGTCTTGCCCACTGCTTTCCTTAGCAGCGTATTTCAGTAAATCCAGCTGTTCTGCTCCCCACTATGTTTCTGGTGAATCCTCTCACATCCCCCACACCTCTGGCCTACACTCCAGTTGTTCTATGAAAAAAAAATTTTAAAAAAAGAATTAACTTTTTAAAAAAAGAAGAGATAATCCGATCAAAATGGTGGAAGTGTTTTTAAAACCACAAAACTGCTGACCCAAATTAACCATTTAAAATTAGAGACCTGATGCCCCAGAGTCCTAACATGAACTATAGGAGAAAGAGTCCAAACAAAACTGATGTGCTTCGTCCAGGTTGTGGTAGCTGCAGAACTCCAATCCCTGTCTGGGCCTTCACATCACCTTCCCCTCTGTATATGTGAAACTTCCCTTTCTCATATAAGGACACTTGTGGTGACATTTAGGTACCACCTGGATAATTCAGGATTAGCTCCTTATCTTAAGATCCTTAACATAATCACATTTTCAAAGACCCTTTTTTCAAATAATGTAATACTCATAGGTGCCAGGGATTCAGGAAAAGGCAAACATTCTGCCTATTGCAAGTTCCAAATGTAAGATTCTACCCACTGTGGCAACACTGTCTTGCTGCTCTCCCAGTCAAAAACAAGCCAGTTTTCTTATAGTCAGTCCATGGATCATCCACACTGTGCCCACAATCTTTCCTGGCTTCTCAGTGAGAAGTCTCCAAATATTCTTGAGAGTATGTCTCTATGGGAAAGTAAATCAAGCATGTTTCTCCAACATAGAGTTTACTATTAAATTATGGGTGCCAGGGCCTCCCCGGTGGTGCAGCAGGTGGAGTGCAACGCTGTGAAGCTGTCCGTAGCCTCCGCAGCGGGTTTGATTCCCGGCTGGCCAGAGACATTCCTACATGGAGAGGCAGATCTCTCGTGTCTCGCCCGCTGCTCCCCTCAGCAGTGCATTTTGGTCATCTGCCTGTTCTGCTCCCTGCTCTATCGCTAGTAAATCCTCTCACCATCCTGCACCTCTGGCCTGCGCCCCAGCTCTGATTTAAAAATAAATAAATCTTTTAAAAAATGTGCTGTTCTTTGAAAAAAATTATGGGTGCTAGCATATCACTGTATTATATAAAAGCAAATTTTTTTCAAAAGATGAGGGGAAATACAATGTGCAATGACTAGCATTTTCTCCCACCACCCAAATAAAACATCTTGTGAGCTCTCTGAGGTACATGTCTGTTGTGCATCCTTACTTCACCCAAACTCCAAAGAAGAGATTCAAAGACTCTTGCTTAAGGTGGGAAAGCTGAATAAGTGCTGGGCTTCCCACTATAATTTCCTCCACAGCAAGTCAGCTTGGATCTTCATGATACATTTTAGGGTTGTGCAAATCATTTCTATGGGAAACATCGTCCTCTGCAAAAAAAAAAAAAAATTAAAAATCAAAAAAAAAAAAAAAAACCCAATAGATCTGATCCCCACTTCTCTGGAGCACTCTCATTTCTGGTGTGAGCCTCTGGACGGCCTTTCATGCAGGTGGCATATGACATCACTCGGCCCCAGCTGTTCCTCTTTAACTCAGCCTCACAGCAGAAGAGATAGCCTTTTACAACTTGACTTTTTCAGGAGACAGACCATTTTTCAAATCCACCAAACACATTAAACACAGTGAGACTGTCACATTCCACAAATATAAATTTGACAAATAAATCCTCTATCTCCAAGCCTCTGTGAAAACATGAATCAATCTGAAGGACACCAGGCTTGGTGGGAAAACGTCCCTGTTTTCTATCTGAAAGATGTCTGCCAAGCCAGCTGCACCCCCAGTGGGTCAAAGCTCACGAATTACCCAGGAGCCTGAAACCCCCACGGAGGCCTCGAAACCATTGCATTTCCACCAATAGCAGACGTTGTAAATATGTTCTTTGCCTGCTCGTGATGCCTAATTAGGCCCTGACCATGAGGCAAAGAGGTGGAGAAGAAAATCTAGGATGCCTGCAGGCTGCCACTTGAGTTCACAGCAAAATGACAGGCAGTGTGAGTGATCCAAGGGGAAGAATCTGACAGTCACATTTCAGTCTTTAAGCCACATTTTTTTAACATGAGATTGTAGCATCAATAGTGTCATCTTCTAATAGAAAGGACAACTACATATAATGCATAATTGCCCGTCAAATGACTTGTTATTTTGACTGCCTATTTTAAAATGTCTGTAATTGCTTCCAATGAGACTTTGAATAAATGATAAGTCAGCACAGGCAATCACTGGTAGAGAGATAGCATGGCTTTGGAAAACTTAGTACAAATTATTTTGTCATGTGTCAATTTCTACCAATTCCTGATTATGATCACAAGGCATTTATACTGCTGGATCAGGTATTTCTTCCAACTGTGTCCCACTTAAGCAACAGAAGAATATTGCATGTAGGTGTACAAAAGACAAGGCAATCTATTTTCAAGGGCAATGAGCAGAGGCTGGCTGAGTCTGATAAATTAGTTTTACAGAATTTTAGCTCATGCCAAATTCTGGCCCTTTCTGTAAAACAAAACAAAGTAAGGTAGAAGCACACCTCTCCGAGACTTATTGTCATCTCTCCAAACGAACACCCCCCCCTTGTATGCTTGTTTGCCAAGTCTTAAAATAACAAATCATTTCTTTATAACAAAATTGTCTCACTGGAATAATAGGCTTCAGTGTGAGTTCTGATAGAGCAATAGCTCCTCTAAATGACAGCAAAGGCTTGCAGCAGGGATGTGAGGCACATCTATTTCAGGGCTTCCCATTAGAGAGAAAGCAGTTCGGTAAGAAATGAAGTCATTTCCTGACTCATTGGGATGCCATGTTTAAACCACAGTCTTCTGCCTGAGGATACAGAGGTTGGAAAAAATGTGCCTGCGTCTAAAAGAGAGGTGGAATCATTCCTTAAGGATTCAGGAAACCAACATTTTAGAATCCTCCGCATGCTACTAGACCATATCAGATAGGTAAAGAGGTTTAACTCAAACCTTCATCTATCTTCCATAGTGAGAAGGTTCTCCATCCTACACTTTGTTAAAGCCAGTTCCATAAATGATCAGCTTAAATAGGCATGAACACATTTTTCTAGTGTAGATGCAAAAGAAACAGGTCAATGTGCAGGCATTAAAAACATCAGGAGATAGAGAGATGAATCAAAACCTGTTGATTCTGTGTATTTCTAAAATAAGTGAATAAAGGTACACTCCCCCCAAAAAAATATTTTGGAGGGATGTTATACAACAATTTAGTAAGGACTCCAAGGATTTATCTTACTGGAATACTTTTTAATATTCAGTCTCACTAGCAGTGAAAGATAACTTCCATAACATACATAACAACGAGATACCAGTTTTACCTATCAAATTAGCAACAGTTAACAATATAAGACAGGGAGTGGGTATTACTCAGAACTGGTGCAGGACTATGATAACTCAACTTTTCTGGGCAATGCTTATCAAAATTCTCCAAAATGTTTATATTTTCTAAACCAGTAATTCTGCTTCTAGAAGTCCTTTTCTTCTTTTTTAAACTGAGATGCAACATTGTTGAGGTTTAAAGTATACATAGTGTTGATTTGATACTTATAAAATGAAATGATTACTACTGTAGTGTTAGCTATCATCTCTACCACATCATATAATTACCATTTCTCCTTTGTGGTAAGAACATTTAAGATCTACACCCTTTGCAACTTTCAAGTATTCAGTGATAAACAGCATTATTAATAATAATCACCATACTGTATATTAGATCCCTAAAACTTATTCAACTTATAATTAAAGTTTATACCATTTCCTGGAGAATTATCCATGTGCGCTTGAGAAAAATGTGTACGCAGATTTTTGGGGGGTTTAGTGTTCTATAGATGTCAGTGAATCCCATGAGGTCTAGATCCTTATTTAGAGCTTTAGTGTAAAAAAAAAATAGAAATAGACAACTGACCAGGAAGGAACTGGGTCCTATTTATCTTGTGAGCCTATTATCTAGGCATGGAACAGACTAGGTGTTAAATTATGTGTTTGATAAATGTTAAACATATCTACAAAATAAAAACATATATTAATGCTTTAAAAAAAAAGAAATGTTGATATTGATATTATGTGAAGCCCAGAGAAAATATTTTCTGTGTGATGCAGGATGAAGCATTTCTTTCAAAAGTGAAACCTCATAATTTTTAATTATTGTGTGGCATGCTGATTTTAAAAGAAAATAAAGTAAAATTATTGAGGAAAAAAGCACTAAGTACTGTTAATCTATAAAATAAAAGTTATGTGAACTTGAACAGCTCAGAGCTGTGTGGAGATTTCTGGACCTACTAAAGACAGAGCTTCCATATGATCCAGCAATTCCACTTCTAGGTATTTACCCAAATGACATAGAAACATTAATTCCAAAGGACACCTGCATCCCTAGTTTTATAGCAGCACTATTTACAATAGCTAAGCTATGGAAACAACCCAAATGCCCCAAAATAGAGGACTGGATCAAGAAGATGTGATACATATACACCATGGAATATTACTCGGCAATCAAAAAAGATAAACACATGCAGTTTGCAGCAACATGGATGGAGCTGGAAGGGATCATGCTCAGCGAAATAAGTCAGAAAGAAAAAGAAAAATGCCAGATGATCTCACTCATAGCAGGAATCTAGAAAACCTAAATAAGGGACCAGGAAAAAGACTAATTAAAACAAAGTAAAAATCAAAATCAACAAGCAACTATAAACCAGAGACACACTGGGGGGAGAGGGGTAGGGAGAGGAAGGATTAGGGTCAAAATAAGGGGGGGTGCAATTGTATGGGGAATATAACCAAAATGAAAGTGCATACATTGTGCAAAAATGAAAAATGATGTAAGAATTATATACAATAAAATATTAAAAAAATACAAAAAAATAATAAAGGTTATACCCTTTGACCAACATTTCCCATTTCTCACACCTCCAACTCCTGGTAACCAGGGTTGAATATTCCGTTTCCATGAGTTCAACTTTAGATTCTACATATAAGTGGGTTTATATGGAATAATGTCTTTTTCTATTTGACTTACTTTACTTATTATAGTGCCCAAGAGGTCTACCACCCATGTTGCCACACATGCCCAGATTTCTTTACTTTTTATGGCTGAATAAAAATCTAGGACAGACTCATCTAGGAGTCTATCTTAGATCAATAATCTGACATTTGGACAAAGATATATTTGCAGAAGTGTCATTACAGGATCACCCACTGTTTGTAATGGAAGTTCAAAAGTCAAATCAAGTGACCAAAAATGGAAGAATAACAATATTATTGTGGAACACTAATACATGGAGCATTATCCAACCAGTTCAAACTTTATTTAGGGGTTATCTTTAAATAAAGAGCCATTATCAGTGAAAAAAAAGCAATATGGAAAATTACACATATAAGAAGAAAAAATATGCAAAGAAATTCCTAAATGGGTATAATTATGCAGAATGAACTGGAAGCATATTTCCTGTTTTAAGTACACCAGGTCATTATTGACATCATGTTGATGTATTCACACAGTGAACGTTTGAAACCCTGGTGGTGTTTCATGATGAACATGAGTTACTAAGCACCTGCACAAACTTCTCATAGAACACTGAACCTGAGCTGTCTGCTGGTAGACCCTGCCTCCAGGCCCCGGGAAGACTACACTCAATGAGCAGAGGGCCGCACTGAGAGCACAGATCTGCAGACAGGCCAGCAAACCGTAGTCACCCTTTCGGGAGTACTTATACTGCACTCTGGTATTGTCATCAATGCAAAAACCCAAGTGAAAGGAGGCTTGTTGAGTCTTGGCTGATTCCTTACAAAATATTAAATGTTGTTCTTTTTCTTTCTGTCTCACTTATAGCAGGAATTTAGAAAGCCTAAACAAGGGACCAGGAAAAAGACTAAGTATATAATAAAGTAAAAATCAAAATCAACAAGCAACTATCAACCAGAGACACACTATGGCGGGGGGAGGGGAGGAGGGAGTAGGGTCAAAATAAGGGGGGAGGGAATTGTATGGGGAATGTAACCAAGATGAAAGCGCACACATTTTGCAAAAATGAAAAATGATGTAAAAATATATAAAATAAAATAAATGTAAAAATATTAAGTATTGGACAGAGATGAGAGGAGGAGTCTCAGAGAAAGATACAGAGACCAAATGCAGAAAAAAAGCAAAGTGGGTGAAATGAAAGATCTAAGAAATGTAGTAGGAAAGAAGACGAAAAGGAATAGAAAACAATGAACATGATTTCCTCAAAACTACTGAATTATAGCAACTGTTTTATTAATTACAAAGTGAAGTGACTGTTTCAAAGCACTTAAGAAAGTTGTATTCCCTAACAAAATTCCCTTACACTTTGGCTTGTTTGTTACATTTTCATCTTAGTACA